GTTAATATGGATGAAGGAGAAGGCAATGTACAGCAAGAGGGAGGTTGACAAGAAATGGTGGAGGCAGAGGAATTCACTAAGAAGAGAACAAGAACTAGAGGCAACAAAGGGAAATACAAGTATATACACACAATCCTGCGATAGTAGTGGTACCGTATGAGTAGACAGGTAGCTGCATGGATAGACACACAGGCTGAGCAGGTGTTAGAAGGAATGTGAGCGGTGTTAGAGGGAATGTATTCAGACAAATATGTATGTTTGACAGAGGATATTTGTACATATCTGTTGCACATATATCCATGGATGCGTTGGAGCACACACAGGACAAAATTATGAAAACTTCATGGGCAGAAGCAAACACTTTGAGAGAATGAGTTGTTGGCCCTGGGTGCTCCGGACCATAGTCTTAGGAGACACCAAGGCCAATTGGTATAAGAGTCCACAAAGACAGTTCTATACAGGGAACCAAAACACTAGTGGGTTAGGCACACCTTTGAATAACAAGCCTTTTGAGCTATAAAAAGTGGTATTTCCCAAAAGACAACGTTCAAAGGAGCTTGGAAAGAAGGAGCAGCACAACAGGAAACACAAGGGGGAAAGTAAGATAAGCGATGTCACATCGTGGGGATGCAACCAATGAGATGAAGTAAAATGCAGGTGAAATGCTGAATGGAAAGCTCATCTGCTCTGTAAACGTTCCCTGAATTCACAACAAGAGTTAAAAAACAAAAACCTGTGAGATTGAAAAATAAAGTCAGTGACAACCCACAATCAGAGGAAGTGGCACAAAAGCTGCCACAATGGGCTCAAACAGAGGGAAGATCAAGGAGGTGGCACAGCTAGGGCAATAGTTTCTTCCGTTGCCATGAATTGAAGACAACTCAATGGCAGATAATAACAGCGACACCAGAGGGAAAGGGAGGAAAATTTGAGAAGGGTAGGAAGAGAAGAAAAAGAAAAAGGGATAAGAGAAAGAAAGACAAAGGAGAAAGATGGAGACAACTAAATAGATAAAAAGTGGGAGAGAGAGTGAACATAAAGTTCCTGTGACTTCACCCATACAGTTGCCCAAACTTGGCTGGCTGTCTAGTCCATCTATTCTGTTGATCTCTCCTCACCCTCACAGGTCAACATCTGCATGCGCAAGAAGGAGGGAGACTACGAGGTGCAGCGTCGCCGCCTGGGTTACTATCTGCCACACCTCGATCTGAGGAAGCTGCAATGACTGCATCTGTTTGGGTCCTTATCCCAGCCTGGGTCCAAGGAAATTTGGCTAGAGCAACAATAAACCACATTGGTCTGACACAGCCCTTTGGCCTTTGTGACTTGGCTCATAAGGATTCACAGGGGACTAAAGGAGACGTCTCCCCACTTCTTTAGTCTTGAAGGAGCCATTTTATGGTTTCATGCTGCCTCGTGCCTAAGTGACCACACATCTGTTGAAAGTGCTACACAGAAATTGCCTATCCTATAAAGTCAGTATCCTCCAGGTGTATGAGGCTTCCTTCCCTTTGTAGTGCCCCACCACACTCCTCCTCTTGACTCCTGGGCCAACCACCACTCATTGACACTTACATATGTTTCTCTCTTTCCTCACCTGGTAGGCTCAAATTCCCTTTACATGACTTGGTTTTCTGAAGTTCAGTATCCCTAGAGCTCTCAAATCAGTCTACCTCAGTGGCTGCTCACCCGCTCTGTGTCCTCTATGATGGGAAATAGTCCAAGAGGAAATGAGAGGGACAGAAATTACTCTACTTTTAGTCTTGGGACCTGAAATGTCTCTCTATCT